TATCTATCTATCTATCTATCTATCTATCTATCTATCTATCTATCTATATCTATATATATCTATATATATCTATATATATATAGATATATAGACATTTTAGCCTATGTCTAAAAATAGGTTTAAATGTATCAGTATGGTGTGAAACACAAAAATTAACTCAACAAGCAGTTCAGACAGACAGAGAGACAGACAGAGACAGACAGACAGACAGACAGAGACAGAAAGACAGACAGAAAGAGGGCGGGGCTTACTGACTCTCAGCCACGACCTGCGCTGCGCCTCTGGAAGCCGTTTAGAAATACTCTAGCAGAAGAAAGAGGCAGATCTGGTGCTCAAATATATAAAACATTAAAAACAAAATAAGATTTATTTCCTGCGAGCCTCCACATCGAGGCGCGTCCTGCGAGGAGCGCTGAGCTCATCCAACCACGAGTCTGGCACCTCCAGCCGCCGCCGTGGATTCTTGTTTTGGGTTTTTGGCTGCGCGCGATGATGGCCACTTACCAAAGCCCCGAGGAGGACCAGATGGCCTTGATGATCCATGACACCAACACCAGCAAGGACAAGGAGCGGCCCAAAGAGGAGCCGGTCCAGGTGAAAGTCACGGAGAAGCCGGACCCGTCCCAGAAGCCCCCCCTACTCGTACGTGGCTCTGATCGCCATGGCGATCCGGGAGAGCTCGGAGAAGCGGCTCACGCTGTCCGGCATCTACCAGTACATCATCAGCAAGTTCCCCTTCTACGAGAAGAACAAGAAGGGCTGGCAGAACAGCATCCGGCACAACCTGAGCCTCAACGAGTGCTTCATCAAGGTGCCGCGCGAGGGGGGCGGCGAGCGGAAGGGCAACTACTGGACCCTGGACCCGGCCTGCGAGGACATGTTCGAGAAGGGCAACTACAGGAGGAGGCGCAGGATGAAGCGCCCCTTCAGACCCCCGCCCACACACTTCCAGCCCGGGAAGGCCCTGTTCGGGGGGGACGGCTACGGGTACCTGAGCCCGCCCAAGTACCTGCAGTCCAGCTTCATGAACAACTCGTGGCCCCTGGGCCAGCCGCCGGCCCCCATGTCCTACACGTCGTGCCAGATGGCCGGCGGGAACGTGAGCCCGGTGAACGTGAAGGGGCTCACGGCCGCCGCCTCCTACAACCCGTACTCGCGCGTGCAGAGCATGGCGCTGCCCGGCATGGTGAACTCTTACAACGGCATGAGCCACCACCACCACCACCCCGCGCACTCCCACCACCACGCGCAGCAGCTGAGCCCCGCCACGGCGGCGCCTCCGCCGGTCTCCTCCAGCAACGGAGCGGGCCTGCAGTTCGCGTGCTCGCGCCAGCCCCCGGAGCTGTCCATGATGCACTGCTCCTACTGGGAGCACGAGAGCAAACACTCGGCCTTACACACGAGGATTGATATTTAAACTCAAACTGCTCTTTATAGAAAACTGTAAACAACAACAACTTGAAGACTGAATTGATTCCTGTGGTCTCCACAGAACCAGCAGTATTTTAAAGTGTGGGGGGGGGTTGGAAACTAAATGGAAACGGGAGCTAAAGGAGTCTCCGCTCTGGGAGCCATTTCGTGTGCGTGAAGCTGAAGCCTCCAGCCTGTTGCTGCAGGGAGACGTGCACGCGCTGCTCCACTCTCTTTAGGCATGCGTAAAAAGCTCGCCTTTACGCACGGCTCATCCAAAGTGTTCCTAATCAAATTAGGACTGAAGAAGTTCTGACTGACCCGAGCGCGTCCTGGTTTCTGTTCACACTTCATGACTTTTCAGACTCCTGCAGCCAAACTGATAATTATTGATATTTGAATATTTGGATGTGATCAGCTGTTTCCTTCATGTCGGGGCTTCATTTCATTAGCACTTTGCCCTTTTTATAGGTTTGTCAATTTCCTAATAAACTTGTATTTCTTAAAGTAACTCCCTGCCGTGAATTATCTCTTTGATGTTTTAAATTGGTGGAAACGCACAGACTGTCCGGGGGGGGGGGGGGGGGGGGGGGCACATTTATAAATCCGTGCTGCGTTTTTAAAACATGAAAATATCGAGCTCGTTTGTAGATTTAGGTAAAAGTTGGAGCTCGAGTCCGGGAACTGTTCCCTGCGCTGCCTGTAATTCACTCAAGTTTAACCTATTTCAATAATAATAATAATGTAGCTATAATTGAAATTGTAATATTTGTCATGAACAACTCGTGCCTTTAGAGAAAAACAAATTCATATTATTAATAATAAATTGTGTTAATTCATTCTTTTTATTCTTCATGATCAGATTTATTTAAATATGACTTTTTAAATATTTCATGAATTGTTCTGCTCTGACTGAAGACAAATAGTTTGATTTTTTTTAGCAGTAATAATAATAATGTAAAATAATTACAAGACAGAGTTTTTGTCTTTTTAAATGATTCGTGAACTTTGTTTCTTAAATTTATTTTAATAATTTATCTGCCCTTCTTCTAAAAAAATGTTTAATTGACATAGTGGAGATGCTTTCTTTGTGTTCATTCCAAATTTATTTTTAACAAATTCTCATCATGTGATAAACTAAACATATTCACTAATTTGTCTATTATTATTATTATTATTATTATTATTATTATTATTATTATTATTATTATTATTATTATTTTAAAATAGCTTAAATCATGTCATCTGGACAAGTTGGTGTTTTTGTTTGTTTGTTTGTTTGTTTGTTTCATTTTACTTGTCCAGATGATTTGATTGAACCTTTTTATTTTTGTATTTATTTACCTGGATGATTGATACAAACCATTATTATTATTAATATTATTGCTTTTATTATTATTTCATTATAATTATTATTTAAAAATAACGTTTTTATTTCAGTGCTACAAATTTGAAATCTATTTTCAATTTTATGTTTTTGTTGATAA